AAAATGTACAACAGCGACTCAAAATGGAGAAACATTGTAGGGGGATATGCAGTTAATGAGGCTGTTTAGTCCAGCAAAATACATGAAAAGCACAAAAAATGTGAGAGGTGAGCTCACCATTAAAAATCGAAATATGAGCCGACAATTTATGTAGACGTAGTGTTGTGCCAATGGGAATATATAGCAAAAAGAAGCAAGTTTACGTTGAAAATATATTATTATTATTATTATTATTATTATTATTATTATTACAGTCGAACGAGAAGACACAGAGCCAAACAAAACTATGGCAAACATTGTAGTAATACGGGCTTAATTAGGACATCATCATGTATAGGAGACTGTTTAATTGTGGCTTCCGCATATGCTCCCAGCGACTGCAGTTTGATGATGCCAAGGACACATTCCACCAGGAACTGAACACGTTACTATGTAGTGCTATTAGTTCAGAAATCATTTACTTGCAGAGAATGTGAGTGCAAAAGTAGGGCCTCTGAGATCTTCAGAAGCTCAGCCAGATGGAAATCATAGGCTAAACTCAGAACGGACTGACGACGGCGAGGGTCTGTTGCAAACGTGTACGGAGCACCAGCTGTTTCCTAATAGCATTTTTCAGATACAGTGGGAGACGAAGAGCCACTTGGCGTCCTCCTGTAGCTAACCAGCGAAGTACCCAAATTGATAAACATTGCCATAAGTTAAAGGTGGCGTAGTTCCATTCTAAAATGCCACTCGTTCGAGAGTAGTTAAGTCGACTCCGATCATGGTTTGATTCGCTGTCGCTTTTCCATGAACTTCCCCGGGAGGCGCGCCCGGTGTCTCCCCCGATTGACAACTGAGAAATTATCTCAGTCCTCGGTCAGGCAAGCGTACCAGGATGAATTGAATACAGAAAGTTCGCTTTCCTATCTTAATTACACTGAACTTTAGTGAAATAGGATCTCGGTTGACATGCACGACGCAGCAGCATCTGCTTGTCAAACCATAAATCATCACTGCACCAGTCAACGGATATCCGAGAGGTCGGTGAACCCGTTGGAATCCAGAAGAATCCAACCAGCTGGCTCTGAGTACGATGTGACCAGACGGACTACTAAGCGCGAACTAAAGCGGTAGGACAAGGCGTAGAGTCCTGATTTCTCGCACCGGTCTTCATACCTCAAGTCACGTAAACTCGGTATAAGCCTGGTAGCAACGTGTTGTATCCGTACGCTCTTCTGTGCCTCGCCTCAAGTAATCGGAAAGTAGGCGGGCGAACCATACTCTAGCATTGGTCTAGTGATGGAAGAGAAGAGGCGAGTGACAACTTCTTCAGACCATGTGCCGAAGCTATGTTTGAGTGTCCAAAGCATGCGCAGTCCGGTACCATACAGCTTGTTCGTGTTATCCACGGACTTCAAATCGTAGCGCGTGAGTACATCTAGGTCCTTCACGGAGGGTGTGTGATATAGCGGTTGGCCGTCAAAGGTGTAGGTTCGGTCGTCAACACCCTTCCCCAGGCTCATAAATACAGACTTGACCGGGAGATGAACTGCAGACCATGTGGATAGGTGGTTGAGGTCTTGCTGAAGTAGGCCACAGTCACTGGGAGCGTCAGTTTCTCTCCACATCTTCATGTCGTCCACAAACAAGGAACACGGCGACCGGAGAAGCTGAAATAGATCGTTGATGTGGATCAGGAACAGAGTGGGCCCCAGCACAGTACCTTGAGGCATGCCACTTTAGAGAGATACGAGTCAGCTAGATGGTCGTCGAGAAGGCCACTTCCTTAGAACAACAGATAGCACTGAATTAGTTGCGTTGGCTTGGGCACTTACTACGTATTCCCTATCAATTGTTATCGAAGAGGGTCCTGTTTTGTCTGTTAGATGTAGGGTGGCTCAAGGTTCGTGGTGGATAAAAGTTGAGTTTCCCGGGGGAACGAAGTCACTGGCGACCAAACCTGGTGCCGTTGGTCCGTCTCGCCTTCCAGCCTGGAGTCCACGTGACTCGCCTAGTGCTTGGCTCGAGACTTTACAGGACATGGCTCGCAGTAAACACCAAGAGCGCGTCTGCTGCCGTCTCCTAATCGGATTGTCTGTTTAATGTGCTTTTGCTGAGTTATCTGCGGGGTAATGGATGATTATGGCGCGCGGTAGTCAAAGCCACAAGAAACCTGCATCGCCGATGTCGCCGTATTTTTGCCCGATATCCAGCTGTTTGTGACGGCATGTTGTTAACACAAGGTGTAGGCGACTTGACCCTGCATTTTTGCCTAGGGAAATATAGTTTTATGGTAAGTCCTCTTCTCTCCGTCGCATAATTCTTCGTTCCATAGTTCATTATGGGTGCATAGTAACGAAGTAGCAGTTCAAATACGTGAGGTACTTCTGTTGGTAAGGATGATGATAATCTACTCTAAGAGTATCACCAAGTGAGGCGATGTCATCGGCATAAGCTAAGTCGATCGCTAGCTTTCGCGGTAGTAGTTGCAAACCAAATGTTTTTAACCCTTCAGAGCTCTCCACCAGAGATCTTCAGTTGCAAAACTGAAGAGAAAAGCGGAAATAGGGCCGCCCTGTCATACACAGCTTTGGACAGCGAAGGACGACGAAAGCTTGCCGTAGACCCGCATTCTACGGGAGATGGGGAAGTAGAGCGCACGCAGGACGGCAGTGTTTTTCTGGGACCCTGTTCTTAGAGAAATGTATATTTCCCGACTGTGAGAGTTATAATCCAACTACTTAGACTGATCATATGGTACAACATGGTCTCAAAATGCAAAGGTTATTTCAAATGTTCCGGAAGTTGAAAAGCAGGTTTATGGGGAATTCAGCTGGTGGAGATGATGAAAGGAAGGAGAGTTTAAAAGTAGGATGAAAGTGGTTATTGAAAAAGCAACACCATGACGCAGGTCAATCAACCGAGTCGAAAGCAGCATGGATGTCTGGGAAAGCAACGATGGTAGGCCTCTGGTAGATGTGGCGGTGTACCAAGGGTTGGTGGAATGTGGATATCTGATCCACGCACCCATGGCTAGGACGGAAACCAGCTTGTTCTTCTCGGTACGATTCACGAATGGGAGAGGGTCTACCGAGTAAAACAGACGCCAATAGCTTTGAGGCAAACGAAATGAGACCAATCCCCGGGTGATTGGTGCACCCTTCTCACAATCTGGGACAATAACCGATTCGCTCCAGGAAGGACACACCCCTTCTTCATGCCCGATTTTGGAGAACAATGAGGTTAGCTGGCTGATGAGAACTTTGCCTCCATACTTGGACAACTCGATAGGAAGTCCGTCTGAGCCGGCAGTCTTAAATCGTTTCAAGTGTCGAATCGCAAAACAAACTCCTGCTTCGTTGGGTGGATCAAGGATGAGGATTCAGGGCGGCCATCCGGATTCGCAGGGCATACACATGAAGGGGGAGGGCAAATTAAACTGCAAATGGATATTTTCGGTTCGTCGATCCAAATATCTCTGTAGATTGGGAATCAGTGAACCACGCGCTTCGCAAATAGTCACCATGACACGGGGCTTTCTGTGGCTATTGGACCGAATGAGCTGGAAGAGTTCGCGATTATTACTAGAGAGGGCAGCGGCCTCCAGCTCCGAAGCAACTGGGACCATCAAACTTCATGATCACTGCGGTCTTGTTTGATCTGCCGACTGACAGAACGGCACACTTCATTATGACTAAACCCCACTGGGATATTCCTGTGGCGGTCAGGGAGCACGTGGAGATGCCTACCCTTATACAGCGATGAGTAAGACCTCAAACGAACTGCACGGAAGAGATCATGGTCCTCTGCATGAGCGTCAACTGTTCAGCAATGTCTTGCGATGTGTCGCAGCTGAGTGTATCGGCCAGGGAATATTGATAGCACCGTTGAACCGACAGAGCAGGTAGCTTATTAGTGACTGTCTTTCGGTGCTTCGTTTTAGGGGATTCTCCGAAACTCATGCAAATGTTCGTATAGACAAGAACGTGACCTGAGTCAATAAATGTGGATCAGATTGATCTGTAATTTTTTACACTACCCCGTCATCTGAAACTGACTGCGATATGAGCAATAAGAACACGAGTGACACGCAGAAGTGCACCGAGTAGCGGAACGTCCTCTCGAATGTCTAAAGATGGTGTTCGAGAGAAACAAACGATTGTCTTCGTACAGTATGAGAAGTCTTTCTCCCTTATCTGAGCAGCTCTCCTCGAACGCATGGGTGACCGCTGAGATGACTTTCACAAGATAATGGACGACCAACCCATGTGTTGAGATTCCCAGCAAGGACAACAATATCGGAGTTGCAAACTCTGCTCAACAGCTGGTGAAGTTCACGATAGAAGTCGTCGTTGACCGAGTTGCAACTGCAGTCAGTCGGAGCGTAAGCTAAGATCACAGACAAGTTGTGTCTCTCCACACGACGTCTGTTAATCCTGCATGATCTCCAAAGCCGAACTGCACATAGTCGGCTATTAATCGGAAACCAGTTCAACAGTGCGGCCTCGGCTTTGCTGTTTAGAGCCACCCGAACGCCAACCAACCCCGTCGCAGTCGCTTCTGTGTCACCAGATACACGTAGGTGAAATACGGCTCCGTTGTCGGTAGATCTCAACCCAAGCACAGTACTTGGAAGTTGCAAGCAGGTTTCGGAGAGCAAACATCGATGGCGATGGATTCCAAGATGCGCGCAAGGCCATCCTGCTGCCCGATTTGCTTGAGTGTATGTATATAGAACCACGCCAGACGGAAGGTGGACCGAGGCCGGAGGATTACTGGGCGAACTCTGTGGGCGTCGACGAAACAATTGGGAGTGGAATCATGGAAAGGAGAACCAGCTGATAACTGACAAAAGTTATTGGCAACATATAGACAGGTGACGTATGAAGGTGCGTGAGTAGTGGAAGTAAAGGCGGCTGAGTGCGATATAACAGATGAACAAACAAGGAACAAAACCATTAATTGAAATTATGTATACATACCATAAATGTATACGATAAAAAGGATAGATGTCTTACTTTTGAGTCACCCACATCGTCAACTTTTATTTTTTGGCAAAATTCAGCCTCATGCTCGCTTAGTAGGCGCAAACGGCGGTCGGCTTCTCGGGGTGTGTGCGAAGGCACCACAGCATCAGCAAGTAAAGGCTCCCGTCCGTCTTCCTCATCTGCTCGTTTGTAAGAAAATAGCGTATATGGAACTGTGCATACCTGGGAGTAGGGACATGGATTGTTCACACAAACTGAGTGGCGAGATTAGATGGTTGTTCCTCGAGTGCAGTCAACACAGGAAGCGAAAAGTCAACGAAAAATCCTTGACAAGTGACTTGGAAACTGATTGGGTTTAAGTGAAAATGCGTTCGGAATAGGTGAACATAAGGAGATACATGTATGACTGACAGCAAACGACAAGCAGTTTAGTATCCTGGGTCGGTTACTGGATTAACGCTGACCTAGGGGTGGAAATAATGCAGGCGAAGTTTAACACAGCATCATCATCATCATACACGTTAGCTAGAGGTGGGAAACACCTCAGCTACTGTGCCGCAATACAAAGAAAAAAGGAGAGAGAAAAACAATTGGTGAAAGCTGGCTGAGCTACTGGTGACGGATGGGCATCGTTCCGGTAAGCTACCAGACGCCTGCTGTGCACCCAAAAAAAATTATTATGCAAAATTATATAAGGCTAAGTAATGAGGTCGTGGTTGTAGGGGGAGGCTAAGAGGGATGGGGTGGGACAAAAAAACTCACAGCACGAACGCCACTGAGGTCGGCTCCTAGCCATATCAGCAAGTGTGTCCAACCAAACGTGTTCATCGTCTTTCGGACCCCAACCAGGGAGCCGAGACGCTCCAACCCAGGCCAGCTTCGAAGTGAGGGTCTTCATTCCTCTGGACCAAGTCATCGCTTGGCCACCCCTCCTCTTCTTCCATCCACACCCCTGGCGCGCAAACAACACACGTCGTGGAAGTCGGTGGGCTGGCCTGCGTAACACGTGGCCGAGCCATCGGAGCCTGATGCGTGAAATAACGGTGCTGAGCGGTTCAGTTCCTTTTCCTGTGCCATAAACAAGGCGTCGAACACGCTCCTTACTCATGCGGTGTTCCCACCAAACGTGAGCTAAATTACGAAGGTACCGGTGGTCGAACGTAACTAGCCTCTTCAGGTCCACTGCTTTAAGCGGCCAGGTTTCACAACCGTACAATAGGGTCGAACGTACTGCTGCATTGTACACTCTACCCTTCAGGGTAAGAGTGATGTCGCGCCGGCGCCATAAGTGGCGAAGGTTAGCAAAAGCACTTAGAGCTTTTGCTATACTATTCGTGATTTCATCTTCAATCCCACAGGCGCTGTTACAACTTCCTAGGTAGTTGAATTTTTGAACGACTTCTAGCTGATACCCACCAAGGGTCAGCATAGGAGGCGGTCCAGACCAATCTTGGAGAAACGCTTTGCATTTCGAGGGTGCGAAACAAAGCCCGAAGTGACGGACAGCTAGTGCTAATCTGTCCAGTGCCGCTTGGCACATTTGTGAGCTGTCACAGATGAGGGCAATATCATCAGCATACTCTAAATCAAGAAGTCGTTCTCCTGGGAGTAGCTCCACACCTTCCAAGTCGTGTCCTGTGAACGCGATTTCCATGACTTCGTCAACAGCGAAGTTGAAGAAAAAAGGTGACAACGGGCATCCTTGTCTCACGCCGCTGGAGATATTAAAGGGCGACGACAACTTGCCGTAAGCCCTCACTCTGCCCGAGCTACGAGCATATAATGCTCGGATATTATTCACATATTTCTCAGCTACACCTTTCCTGAGTAGACAGTCCCAAAGTGCATGTCTATCCACCGAATTGAATGCACCTTTGATATCGAGGAACACGACAACGGTGGGCCGCCAATATATGTGACGATGCTCGAACAACTGACGCAACGTGAAGATGTGGTCAATGCAGCTACGACCTCGACGAAATCCAGATTGCTCTTCACGAATCTGGCTTCCACGAGTGCCAGTCAGTCTGTGAAGGATGACAGAGGCAAGCAATTTGGTGGCTGATTCCTCTATGGCTGCCGCATTCCGATCGTGAGCCTCCTTTGAAAATTGGGACTACGATGGAGCGGCTCCAATCGGTTGGGACAGTTTCCTGCTCCCACAGTCTCACTAGTAACTCGTGTAAATCATCCACAAGAGCAGGTCCCCCGAATTTGAAAAGGGATGGAGGAAGGTCATCAGGTCCCGCGGCTTTATTTAACTTCAACAGTTTGATCTCATGTTCGACTTCTGAGCGAGAGGGTGGATCCAAAGGAACAGCCACGGAGCAGGGCGATCACTGGTCGGCGAGAAATCTAACAATTCCGACCGATTAAATTGCCTTTCAAAGTGCTCAGCCAAACGTTCCAGGCATTTTGATAAATTGTGGATAGGCTGTCCACTCTCGTCCGGTATAGTTTCACTAACACCAGGTCTCCTGCTGCCCGTTTCCCGTATAAGACGGAATAACTCACGATGGTTACCAAGGGCAGCGGTGATTTCCATCTCTGTTGCACGACGAGACCACCAGGATTCGCGGTCTCTCTTCAGGCTAGCACGGAGTTCTGCCCGGAGCTCTTTGCGAGTTTCATTGTGTTCGCTTCCAGCCGGTATATGCCGGCGAGCATCTATAAGTTCCAAAGACTGTGAAGAGACCCAATGTTCATGTTGGCGACTAGACATACCACATGAGGATTTGCCTGCTGCTAGTAAGGCCTCTTGCATATGAGACCAGTGAGCTTCAATTGCATCCAGTGAGCGTTTATCCAACTCGGATGACAGCGTAATTTGATAGGCGTTCAGAACAGCTGGATTCACCAGTCTGTCGGTGTCAATGCGCTCACATCGTCGCGGGCGTCCGCCAAAACGCATCCGCAGGTCAGCACATACAAGTGCATGATCGGTGTCAACACCTGTGCTCCAAATCGAGCGACAGTTCTGGACGCAGCCTCTCCAGCAGTAATTGATAGCAATGTGATCGATTTGCGTCCATAGCTGGTTCGAGGCTGGTGGGCGCCAAGTCACCCTCCGGCGGGTGCTGTGTCGGAAATTAGTGCTCGCAAGAAATAAGCGAGCATCCTCACACAAATGAAGTAACCGCTCACCGTTATCATTACGGGAGCTTATACCATGTTGGCCGCCCAGATGCAGCTCATCTGCGGATAATTTTCCAACTTGAGCGTTCAGATCCCCAGCCAGCACTACAGTGTCCGAGCTTCTTCTGTGGCGAAGGAGTTCGTTCAGTTGGCGATAGAAGTCGTGTTTTACCGAGTCCTCGCTACAGTTTGTCGGTGCATAGGCAGCGATAACGAATAGACACCTGTTAGTCCCGCGCGACTTCGAAGTTTTGAACGAGCCATTCAATCGGACCGCACACATCCGGCTACTGATTGGAATCCAATCAACCAGAGCAGTTTCAGCCCGGGGACTCAGGGCAATACCAACACCGGCTTGGCCGGTGCTCGAAGCTGCATCGTCACCGGATAGGCGCAATGAGAAAGTGCTGCTAGTGTCACCTGAAGGGGATCGCAGAGTGAGTACAGAGCTCGAGTCTTGCAGGCGGGTCTCCGATAAGCAGCAAATATCGATCGAGAGGGTCTCTAATGTTCGGGCAAGTGCTGCCTGTTGACCAATCTGAAGCAATGTGCGAACATTGAGGCATGCCAGTCTGAAGGAGGACCGAGGGCTCCAAATGGAAGCCGATGAACTAGAATGGGCCGCTTGCTTGGATATGGGCCTGTTGACAGTGCAGGAATGACGCTCTGCGTTCACCTGTGAGTTGAAACTAAAAGATAAGCGACTATTGAAGCAAGGTGGGGGAGGGCCGAGAATTAGGGGGTTGAAAACAGGGGGGGATAAAAGTAAAGCTGGAACGGGACGATAAGGGTGAAAAAGCGCAAGAAGGGGAATGAGAAGATGGGAAGGCTTGAGCAGTAGCATCCAAACCCCTATCCACCCTGCTCGATGCAGCAGATAGGGCACCGTTGATTATCCTCTGCGGTGGCCAGAGCATCAGAAATTTGTTTGGGGAAGGATTCATTGTATTGCGTGGGCAGGATACTGTCAGGTTGCCCAGGCCTAGACAGGAGAACGATTAGGGTTCTCAACCAAAGCCTTTGGTTCAAAAACCTGGCCGCAAGGCAGCGGGTTTGGCACTGGACTAGAAGGAGTCCGTTTTAAGGAATAAGGAGCCACCCTCATTCCAACCCCAACCTGGAGGACCAGGAGACTGAGTTTGTCTGGCCTCTAACCATTGACCAATCTGGTATGAGTGGCTCTGAAGGCGCAAAAGCACCACCCAGTATAGCTCAATGGATCACTGAGGCACACAAACCATCGCACACCTTTCCTGAGTAGACAGTCCCAAAGTGCATGTCTATCCACCGAATCGAATGCACCTTTGTGAAGTTTAATACAAATGGTATTCAATGAACAATCGAATAGGGCAAGTTACTTGGAGCAATACAGCCATGAAAAAAACTTTCACTAGAATGTGAATAGCGGCTCTCAGTCAGTTACTTCGATTGCTGAGAAAATGCAAGCAGTATCGAGTGAGTTCAGTTCATATACATAGTAAAATAAGCAACAGTAGATGACGGGACTCATATCGTTAGAACACCAACAATGAGAAGGAGGTAGAACGCGAATAAAATTAGAAGTTAGGAAAAATAAGCAAAATATAGAGGATCAGACGCAAGAGACATAATGCAATAGCGGCACGGAATCAGCGATCGACTGAGGCGGCTTTTCCATAGGCCTCTATCCTGGAAGAAGTCACGTATCAACCCAACCGAGTACGTCGGTCAATTTTGCATAGAAAGAAAATCTTATACCTTTATGTCAACTCAGGGACGGGCCACCTCGAAGCAGCACCCAATTGGTTGCAGAGGCGAAGTATGGTGTAAACCGAAGGTGTTCAATGAATGTGCGAAGGAAATGATCTAGTCGCCCGAAGTAGCCGAAATTAATGTAATCCAAAAAACAGTCCGGAGTTCCTTTCCAAGCGACAGGCGGTCTTCACTACTGTTCCAGTTGATGTGAGCAGTGGCGACAGAAGGTGGCCGATCTGCTAATCTCATCAATACGACGAGGGTAGGTTTAAGATCCACAGAGCAACACATGTCAACGAAGTGCTATGCACCCTACCTTTCAGTGAAAAGCTGACATTCCGTCTGGTCGATACATTAGGTAACCTAAAT